AAACTTAGGTTTCCAGAGGATAAACACAGGATTTCAAGTCATGTATGATGCAGTCCATTGTCCATTTAAAAATATGCTTCTTTCATCCACACAAAGCACTGAAAGGCCATTTTTTCTTTTATACTGCATAAAAGCTAGGTGCAAATGTTGATGTTAATTTACTTCATTGTCAACTTGGATGATGAAGCTGGGAGGCACAAAAGTTCAGAGTTAAAGATGCAAACAAAAAGCTTCTTTTAGTTCTCTGATAGGAAATGGAGGCCTTCTTTCATGTCTCTTGATTCTTACAGCAGATCACTTCTTCTTCCCTTTTCCTTTTTTACTTCCCTCTCCTTGCTGAAGACTTTGGTCACCACCACCTGTTTTTTGTGTCCTTGTTTTTAGTTTAGGTATCATTTCCGCTGCATACAACATTACTGACTTACCAAGATACTTTAAGAAAGACTCCTAGTGTGGCACTGTAGGATCAGCACGGGACCACAAGGTTGGCAGTTCAAACCCACCAGATACTCCTCAGAAATCAGAGTCACTGTGAGTTGGAATCGACACGACGGCCCCAGAGAAGCAGTGATGCCTGAAATGGAGCCAGAGATGATGACGTGGAGCGATGGAGCAGCTAGAGACCTTAGATCCAGAGAGGGAAAGCGACGGTGTACTGAAGACGTGATGGAAACTGTATAAGACAGAGACTGCCATCTTCCTATTTGAGCTGGACCCGGACTCTGCCTCGGTACTGAACATCACGATTCCATTCTCTAGAGTACATTTTATTTTTCTTAAGAAATGCATTAAGTCCAACTGCTAAACATACATCTTGAATCTCTGTAGCAGCAGGATTTTCAACAGCCTTATTTATGGGGATGTGCCACCTCTCCGCGATGGTCTTCTTGTTATTTAAATAAGCAGGGTAGATACAAATGAACCTGTCCTGGTTGGCAGGGGACCGCAAAGCGGCACAAGCCATTTCCACTGGGGAGCGCACGGAGCCAGCTTGGATTTGGTAGAGAGAAAACTCCCAAAGATTTTGATATGTTGTGTTTTTATTCTCGTTTGTTTCCAGAACTTTGTGAATTCATGTTTAATTTCTTCTTTTACCCAGTTGCTTTTCAGCAGGGTGTTGTTGAGTTTCCATGTATTTGACTTTATTGTTTTGGCCTTCTTATTGTTGATTTCTAGTTTTATAGCATTGTGGTCTGAGAAGATGCTCTGTAGAATTTTGATGGTTGTGAATTTATGGAGGCTTGCTTTGTGTCCTAACACGTGGTCAATTCTGGAAAATGTTCCATGCGCACTGGAGAAGAATGTGTATTGTGCTGTCGTTGGATAGAATGCTCTGTATACATCTATGAGGTCGAGTTGGTTGATTGTGTTGTTAAGTTCCTCTGTCGCATTGTTGAGTTTCTTACTGGTTGTTCTATCCCTTTTCGAGAGTGGTGTGTTGAAATCTCCCACTATAATTGTGGATTTATCTATTTTTTTCTTCAATTCCATTAAGGTTTGCTTTATGTATCTTGGTGCTCTTTTGTTGGGAGCATATATGTTTATTATAGTTATGTTGTCTTGCTCGATTGACCCTTTGATCATGAGATAGTGTCCTTCTTTGTCTCTTATGCTGGTTCTTATCTTAAAAATTTACTTTGTCGGAGATTAGTATCGCGACTTTTGCTTGTCTGTTGTTGCATTTGGCTTGGTAAATTTTTTTCCATCTTTTAACTTTTAGTCTGTTTTTGTCTTTGTGTGTAAGGTGTGTCTGTTGCAGGCAGCATATTGATGGATCTTGTTTTCTTATCCATTCTGCCACTCTTTGGCTCTTCACTGGTGCATTTAATCCATTGACATTCAATGTAATTATCGATAAGTATGAATTGATTGCTGTCATCATGTTACTTTTTTGGCAGTGCTGTTCGTTCTTTGGTTCTGCTTTCTTTCTTGTGTTGGCTTTATGTCCTTTTAGTTGTTTCTGGTTGGTTTCCTCCTAGTTTCTCTGTTCGCTTGTTTTGCTTGGGAATTCGTTTTTATGATATGTTGTGGAGTATTAACTTTCTTTGGGGTTACCTTGTAGTCTACTAACTTTTCTCTGCATTTAGGATACTCCATTGTAACCTGTAATTTACCTGGCATCCTCACCACCTGGGCTTCCATTGCTGTGTTTGTCCCTTCTTTGACATTGATATGTTTTTGTCCTTCAGTTGATCTCCCCATTCTTTTGAGTTTGTCATTGTAGTCTCGTTCTGTTCTGGACTCTGCTATCTGTAGCCTGTGTTCCAGGTGGTGTTGCCATACCTGTCAATCTCTGTTTGTTGCCTGTTCTTGTTGGTTCTCTGTCCACAGAACTTCCTTTAGGATGTTTTGAAGTGCTGGGTTGGTTTTGATAAAATCTCTCAAATTCTGTTTATCCTGGAATGTTTTGATCGCACCATCATATTTGATTGATAGTTTTGCTGGATAGACGATTTTTGGTTGACAGTTTTTTTCTTGCAGGGCTTTGTA